GGGATGGGATGGGATGGGATGGGATGGGATGGGATGGGATGGGATGGAGTGAAATGGGATGGGATGGGATGGGATGGGATGGGATGGGATGGGATGGGATGGGAAGGGTTGGGATGGGGTGAAATGAGATGGAATGAGATGGGATGGGGTGGAATGGAGTGAGATGGGTTGAAAACGGATGGAATGAGATGAGATAGAGTGGGATGGGGTGGAGCAAGATGGGGTGGGATGGCTTGAAATGGAGTGGAGTGGGATGAAATACAAAAAGTAGGATAGAATAGAGTAGAACAGAAGAGTTGGAAGTTCCTACGAAGATCAAGTCCAACTTCTTGGTTATCTGTAACCTCGTTCCACATCACTCCCGTGGACACGGAGCAGGATGTTCCTACTTCAGCAAGCTGCAAAGCAAAGCAGAGCTGTGCACGTTGCACCCCGAGCCACAGAGGACTTTCTCAACCGTGCAGGGTGGGTGTCTGCAGGGCAGAGAGCACAGCAAAAGGATGGGTGTGCAGAGGGTGAGCTGGGGAGTAGGGCAGGGCTGCAGGCAGGCCTTTGCAGAGAGGTTTGCTACTAAATAAAGAGGCAAATGGAAACGGTGGGAGCCTCCTCGTGGGCCCGGGGCTGCAGAAGCTCCCACTGCCCCTCGCTGGCTGAAGGGCTCTCGCACTGCGGCTCTGGTGGTGGTACAGCCCGGGAGGGTAATGGGTATTGGATTGCTCCCTTAGGTCTGTTCTTGAACCTAATCCTCATTAGACTGAAACCCATTTCAATTAAGATAGGCCGGGCTCCTCTTTTGTCTTTCTTTTAATTGGACCGTTCCCGCTGCTAAATGGGCAGCTTAAGCATCCCAAAGACCCTGAGAAAAGCCCGGCGTGTCCCCCTAATGGGGTTTGAAAGTGGAGAAATAACAGCATAATCAGTCTCTTCCTCTTTGTGGCAGCCCCCACCCTCCCTCCCACCCCCCCACATCCATTCACCGGGCGGCCTCTGACAGATGGGAACGGGACCGCGGCTTCAATGGGGTTTGTCGGGGGGCTTTCATGGGCCCTGCGCTATTCTGTGGCATTCTCCTCCTTCTCGGCCTTTGTGAGGGGAGGGGAACAAGCTGGGAGAGCCGGGGCCGTGCTGTAGATACCTGCTTCATCCCACGCATCCATCCCCTTCTGCACCCCCTGTATGTCTGTGCATCCTCCCCTCTCTGCCACCGCTGCCAGGCAGGGCTGAGCTTCCTGCAGGCACTGGGACGTTGCATGCATCTCACAGCTGCCATCTGCAAAAGGCAGCTCCTGCTTCTCCGAATCCCTACATCCAACACATGGTGCTCCAGTGTCATGCATGCAAGAGCTGTTTGCTCGTGCGATGACCAGCGGGGTGCTCGCAGGGGATGTGATGCTGCCAGGTGCTGATGCGAGAGCAAATCGGGTGCTTGGCTGTGCTGCAAAGGTTCACTCATGCATGTGGTGGTTGGGAGCTGGGGCAGAGCTGGCAGCTCTGATGTGAACCCGTTGGCTGCTCGAGCAGGATGTAATGGAGCAGTGAAACGTGAATGAATTGGGTGTTGGTG